TTCGCTCCCACCAAATGCAAGATGATTTTACAGGATTGGAATACACTGACTCCTAGATTAGAAATAGGGGATGAAGTCGTAGAGCACGTTGACTACTTCACTTATTTGGGAAGTTGTATCAGCCCCAACGGGTTGGTTGATGACGAAATTTCAGCACGGATTCAGTAAGCTAGGTTTGCATATACGAGTTTACGCTGTCTCTGGCGTAGACGTGATATCCGGCTGGCTATCGACCGAAGAGCGTGTGTACTGCTCGGTAGTCCGCTCTGTGCTCCTTTATGGCTGTCTGTCTGTCTGTTTTCGACATAGAACTTTGCACAAATGTGCGGAAGTTCAAGTCGCCACATTCCGTGTAGCACGCGAAGCAAGAGAAGAAAGTACAAGAAAAGCATGATAGAAACAGTGAGCAGAGGTGTGAGACAAAGGAGTAATAAAGAAATACAAAACAGTTTCATTGAAGATCATAAGTCACAGGGAGTGGATGCATCTGCGCCACTGAGAACGATTTTGAGCCATGTCACCAATTGTTTCCAACCATAGATTTTTACCGTCCCGAGGACCCCAGCCTGGAAGTCTACACCTTCCTACGTGGCTTAGACCAACTGTTGTGGATTTCATTGACTGGTGCCAAGTTTTTGTTTGACCGCCGCTAGCTTTTTTCCAGACTGACCCTACATCCGCTAACATTGCTCGTCGAGGGAGGCGATGACTTGGCATACGTAACACATGGCCTAACCATCTCAGTCTTTGTAACTTCACGACCTCGTCGATTGATTTCCCCAGTTCACCTAGAACTCGACGCCTAACTTCAATGTTCCTCACCTTATTATGCCACTTTACACGGGAAATAGAGCGCAGGCACCTATGATCAAAGACAGCTAGTCCACTCTCAGTGGCCAGGTCTCACAACCATAGCTGTGAGACTTACCCATAGAGAGTAGAGAACATGAAAAGGCTAGTTGTCTTTGATCATAGGTGCCTATGATCTATCTTCCGTGTGAAGTGGTATAATAAGGTGAGCAATATTGAGGTAAGGTATCGGTCGAGTGCTAGGTAAACAGGGGAAATCAATCGACGAAGTTGTGAAGTTACAAAGACTGAGATGGTTAGGACATGTGTTACGTATGCCTAACCAGTCATCGCCTCCCTCGACGAGCAATGTTAGCGGATATAGGGTCAGGCTGGAAAAATGCTAGTGGCATCAGTCAATGAAATCTACAACAGTTAGTCTAAGCCACGTAGGAAGGTGTAGACTTCCTGGTTAGGGTCCTCGGGACGGTAAAAAACCAATGATTGGAAACAATTGGTGACATGGCTCAAAATCGTTCTCAATGGCGCAGATGCATCCACTCCTTGTGACTTATGATTTCCAGTGAAACTGTTTTGTTCTTCGTTACTACTATTTCCTTTGTCTCACACATCTGTTTGCTTTCTCTATTATGCATTTCCGCTACTTACTTCTCTTGCTTTGTGTGGTACATGTGGGGAGTGTGGCGACTTGAACTGCCGCACACATGTGCAAAGTTCTATGTCGAAAACAGACAGACGGACCATAATATACATATTGATCGAAAATGAAAAGAAATATTAGGCTCTAGAATACATCTTATCGACCTGGAGGCCAGTGTGAGGATTACACATTTAAGAATGATAACTTGAATGTACCCGCTATTTATTATTATTCCGGTGAAGTTATAGTATCACAGCTAAAGCCAAGGTTTTTCAAAATTCGACCTTCAAGAACTAACCAGATACAGGGAAGGCTGTGGAAGGCCATTCAAATCAAATCACGCCTGCCTTTCTGGACTTAGAGAAGGCAAATACAGTATTCTACCTATTCTGTAGGTACTCTTTCTGTACATCTATAAAGTTAGGTTGGGATAGGGCTTTTTAGATTAAAGTTTATGGTACAGGGTTAAGGTTAGGATTAAGGTTAAATTTAGTATTAGGAGTTGGGGTTAGAGTTAGAAATAAGAGTAGGTCAAAGAACAGTATCAGGAATATCAATAGATCTCAACGTACCATAACCTCCAGTCACCTGGATGAATGGATATATCGCGCACAGTATGATCTCTCTACAGATCATCTGTTTAGTAACTGACAGATATTCTTACAGCACATAGGCGACAACTACATAGAATAATATCATGTTTGCAATGTTGTTTTAGCTCATTTTTTAAAGGATTTTACGACTATATTGCATCTGAATTCCAACTGGTCGTTCAACTGGTAGGTTCGGATATGATAGTTTAACCCAGCCAATATTCTCTTAAGTTCCGAGTGCAACATACAGATTCAATAGTGTGGTGTGTGCTACTTATAAACAGACATAAGTAGTATATCAATAAACGAAATCGGAAAAGCAGCAATATGTTTCGGACACTGGAAAAAGCAATCGAAGAACAGAACTGCCAGAAGAATGTTAGAAACACTGTGCAGAATCCAACAAGCTATCGAATGTGGTGATATTCGACCAATTTGCAAATGATGTGCATTGGAGATATGGTATGCCAAATTTATGTACTTACAATGAGTTTGTCCCAATAAACATTCCTTCGAGCGCCATCGGTCTTTCCTTCCTTAAAATAGCGAACCGCCATTTTCTCCTGTTCTTCGTAGTCAACTTTAGCTAGCTCCACGATTGCTGATAAGCGCTCGTCTCCTCTTCACACAATCCCTCCATGTTACCCTCGCACCTCTTTAATTGTCCAACTACAATTAGTGAATGCCTAGAGAAGTTATTAGCTTCACACACAAACACATGAAGTACACACATATTATGGACTACCAGTAACGAAAATACAAAAATTATTTTCAGAATGATTTTAATTTGTCAGAGTACATTTCTTTTTTTTCAAGATAGTTTTCATCAAGGAAGTAAATCAGAGAGTATTGGAACAGTTGTACCATCTAAAGTTGAGAATATTCCATCCAATAATCCTACCGAATATTGAAAATATTACCAATAAGGTTGAAAGACTGGTGTACTGCCATTTAGTCATTAGGTTGGAATTTAATGACTCATCAATTCACCAATTCACGATATGGTACCACTGATAAACAATGACATTGTGATAAGTAACCTCCGGCGCATTCAACCTGTTGTACCTCACCAGTGACCATGACTGCAAAAACTGACTCAACAGCTGAAAGTCCTCAATCAAATACATCATCAAGATATTATGGAATTATCCCGTCGTAAAGACTACAATTAATGCGTTGGAACTACCGAATAACTCCTTGATTAATATCCATCAAATGGAATTGTGTGTCACACATACGCTGTCTCCTTATCTCTCGCAATCAGCTTTTCAACTGACTGTAAATCTTAATTTAGGCGATAAAAATGCACACTTAATGATACATAAATAGATTTTACCATACATTTTAACAATGAGCCTGTTCATACACTTGTCATATACAAAAAACCTTAGTGAAAAACATGTTTTTGTGATATCCAACCTTCCTGTGAGGTCATCATCACCACCAGTAACACCAACGCAGACGACGACCACTCTCAATGGAATCAATACTAATTCAAATTATGTTGAACACTTGCAACCATCATCACAATAAGTTCACATGACTGAGTGAGTTTCAACATAGAACTTCGCACAGAAGTACACCAGTTCAACTTTTTTACACTCCATACAGCACACAAATGTACAGAAAAGGAATACAAAGATTTGACATAGCCGCAATACCACATATTCAGACCTCCGTATTGAAGAGCATCGCATACACTCACTCGTCCTACCACGGCCAGGGTAGCATTCTTAACATAGTTTTCATATATTTATTCCCCTTAATGAATTTGAGTAAAGCCAGAACAACAGTTTTCGCAGAATAAGAAGGCACCATCATTTATTTCGTTGGTTTCTCATCAGCTGCTTACAGTCTAAATAGATTATTATTAAGTTCACGTACGGAAAAATTTTACCATAAATGCAAATTTTACATAATGCCAGTTGATAGGAGGTTCCGAACTTGATGAAAAGTACTCAGAAAATTACGCTCATAGAGTTTTTACACAAGAAATTTAACTTTAAACAGAGTTAATGTATGCATACAATGGTAAAGGAGTTACGTAATAAAGACTAAATGCGTAAGATGATGAGTGACTAATAAATTAGGTAACAATGTACTGTTTATTTCTATGATTTGAAAGTATATATATATATATATATATATATATATATATATATATATATATATATATATATATATATATATATATATATATGAACATAAGATAGTACAACTTTCGAAAATGACTTGTCGAAAAGAGAATTAGGGGGTAATGGAGAGCCGTTCCGTCCCAGTTTGAGACTCTTCACCAAACACACCCATCAAGGTCCGAACCGAAAAGTATCCAGTTACAATAACACTATGAAGGGTCCTGGGTTCAAACCCCAGTGGATGAGTACTGCTAAAAAATTCGAAACTGGGTTGAAACAGCTGCCTATTATGCTCTGGTTTTTCAGTGGTTCTCGTGATCAAACCTGTAGCCAATCAAATATCTGTACACCAACACTTAGAAAAGAGAATCCTTCTTCTCTATCATATGTCCTTTTTATTTTACTCGTCTCAGTGTATTTATCGGTCATCTTTATTAAACGAATATTTTATCACACATTTCGTAGAGGTAAGTGAATAACTTTATTTACTTAAATAATGCTATTGATAAGCATTATTAAGCAGTTGAAGACTAAATATGCTGTAAGTAAATAATTAATTAATTGAAAATTGTTCCTTCTTATGACCAAGAAATTGCTCTTGTTTCATTCAAATAAAATGATAAAATGGTACCGGTGGCTTTCAACCAACCTACTGGAGCCAGACAGGTTTGAAGCTTAGGTCTGTTCCACCTCCCACGTAACACAAATCGGGGCAACCAATTAGTATCTCTAGCCATCATTGCACACACTTGGACTACTTTACTAAGTGCCTTAACATGTATTTCCCTTCATTTACATAAGAATATATATATACTGACTTACTTGTCGAGGTTGTACAAAGTATGTTTCCATAGCTGTTGGCTGTTGGTGGTGAGTAGCAGGATTATTAGACTTAACAGACTCATTTGACTGTATAATGACTGGATTTGGATAACCTAACACTGGACCAGCTTCACCACGAAAACCTTCTGGCAACTGACTGAAAGTAGATCGTGAGGTAAGCACTCGACTGAAATATAAAAAATTAAACAGATGAACCATGTTAATACTTTTAGCAGGAGATAAAGGAGAAAAGAGTGATCTTAAGTAAGTCATTTTACGAATACAAATTGTTCTCACTAAACTAGGAACACTTACTGTGGGAGATGTTCTCGAACGCTTTCTGTAACCCTCAACACTCATATTACGAATATCTAGATATACCAATGAAGCTTAAACTGACTCCATATGATAAATGTATAGTGAGCAGTCGTGACCGGAGGAATTCATCAAGTCAGGTAAGAGAATAGTTACTCGCCTGCGACACATTGGCAGGTGGCTACGTCATATATGTCGTGAATCGGCAGAGACTGGAACTGATGGGCCGCCGTTGAGTCGGGTCCCAATGGTTGAGTGGTCAACGAGCTCGACTTGTAACTGGAAAATCCTGGGTTCGAACGTAAGTGAATGAGTATTGTTAAAGAGTCTCAATCTGGGGTGAAACAAATGTGCAATATTCCCTGCTTTTCTTATTTTTCTCTAAGTGATATTAGCTCCTGACAAACATGTAGCCAACCAATCAAACCCCTTCAAACCAACACTGGAAAATATCGAAAGGCTATTTCACAAATGTGCACAGATTTCATCAGCAACTCTATAGGCAGACAAAGTTGCCATTATTTTAGACCACATAATTTCCAACATGTAGACTCAAAATAACCAGATGTATCAAATGCATTAAATGGGGTTAAACAGATATAACCGTTGGGCTCGCTTGCTTTTACCACATTAATAAATTATTTTGAAATGCTGATATCAGCAAATCGTCAGCGACTGGCACCACCAGTTCAAACGAAATGGAAGTTTGACAAAAGCGAAAGAATGAGAGACGTTATATCCCTAAAAAAGACCATGGGGAATAAAAGGATGGACGTATGGTGTGGGCCGACAGAAAGATCCTATAAGATTTGGAGTGATCAAGAATATCTCATGTTGCATGAACTTGAAGAAATACAAGCGGAAAAAACCTAGAAAGGTGGGCATGAGAGTCAGTTACAGTAGGTGTGTATAAAGAAGACACAAGTGATGATGATACCCAACCAGCAATAACAAACATCAATAACCAACGGTGGGGAGTCACCTCTTTTACTTACTTGCGCCGATTTTAAAATGCTGTAAGAGATAGAGAATTAAAGTCCGAAATTACAATTATTTCTAGAAAGGTTTAAAGTTATATACCTTCACATCAATCATTTGCCTGCCATAAAGTGTTGGCATGTGTATAATATCCTAATTCTTGAGAACAAATAAGTCTATGACTGTTATACTTTTTAATCATAGATATGCTAATGGAAGTATCCTTAACTGAACTTAATGACTCGAGAATCGGATTGTTACCAGAGAATAATCTTATGGACTTAGAATATGCAGATGACATGGTCCTGTTAGGGGAGGATGATGACAAAATGCAGAGTCTTCTGAACACCTTGAGCAGCAATCTTCGTATGTCTGGCATGCGATTGAGATGGCTAGGCCACGTGCTGCGCATGCCTAACCATTGTCTGTCTGTTTTCGACATAGAACTTTGCACAAATGTGCGGAAGTTCAAGTCGCCACATTCCGTGTAGCACGCGAAGCAAGAGAAGAAAGTACAAGAAAAGCATAATAGAAACAGTGAGCAGAGGTGTGAGACAAAGGAGTAATAAATAAATACAAAACAGTTTCATTGAAGATCATAAGTCACAGGGAGTGGATGCATCTGCGCCACTGAGAACGATTTTGAGCCATGTCACCAATTGTTTCCAACCATAGATTTTTACCGTCCCGAGGACCCCAGCCTGGAAGTCTACACCTTCCTACGTGGCTTAGACCAACTGTTGTGGATTTCATTGACTGATGCCAAGTTTTTGTTTGACCGCCGCTAGCTTTTTTCCAGCCTGACCCTATATCCGCTAACATAGCTCGTCGAGGGAGGCGATGACTTGGCATACGTAACACATGTCCTAACCATCTCAGTCGATGTAGCTTCACGACTTCGTCGATTGATTTCCCCTCCTTACCTAGAACTCTACGCCTAACCTCCATGTTGCTCACCTTATTATGCCACTTTACACGGGAAATAGAACGCAGGCACCTATGATCAAAGACAGCTAGTCTTTTCATGTCTTCCACTCTCAGTGGCCAGGTCTCACAACCATAAAGGAGGACGGAGCGGACTGATGAGCAGTACACCCGCCCTTTGGTCGATAGTCGAACATCTCGTCTACGCCAGAGTCGGCGTAAACTAACAAATGCGAAACGAGCCCCTTGTATTCGTGCTGAGATTTCGTCAGAGATCAGCCCGTTGGGGCTGATGGTACTTCCCAAATAAGTGAAGCGGTCAACGTGCTCTACCACTTCACTTCCTATTTTTAAACTAGGCGTCGATGTAGTCCAGTCCTGTAACATCATCTTGCATTTGGCGGGAGCGAATCGCATGCCAAACATTCGTAGATTGCTGTTCAAGGTGTTTAGAAGACTCTGCATTTCGTCAGCGTCTTCGCCTAGAAGGACTATATCGTCTGCATATTCCAAGTCAACGAGATTATTCCCAGGTAGCAAGTCAATCCCTGAATCGCTGAAGTCACCTAGGGTTAAGTCCATTAACACATCTATGATGAAGTTGAATAGAAAAGGAGATAATGGGCATCCTTGACGGACACCACTGGTCGTCATCAGTTCAGATGACAGCTCGCCGTAAGCCCTCACCTGGCTGTATGAGTACGAGTAGAGTGCCTTAATCAGTGCAATATATTTTCTTGGAATTCCCTTTACAGCCAAGCATCTCCAGAGAACTTCCCGATCGACAGAGTCGAATGCTGCCTTTAGGTCAAGAAATATAATGACTGTTGGACGCCGGTAGGAATGCCTATGTTCTAGAATCTGTCGGAGGGTGAAGATATGATCAATACACCCTCTTCCTGGTCTAAAGCCTGCCTGGCTCTCTCGTGTTTGTGCTTCCCGAGCACCACTCAGTCTACGCATGATTATTGAGCCTAAGACTTTAGATACTATATTAGTCAAGCTAATCCCTCTGTGATTATCACAGGAAGACTTGTCTCCCTTCTTGTATATGGGGATAATCAGTGACTTACACCAACCCGATGGGACTTCTTCTGATTCCCAGACGCTGCCTAGTACCTCAGTTAATCCGGACAGTAAGCTGTCTCCACCGTACTTAAATACCTCTGGCGTCATTCCATCAGGTCCCGCTGCTTTGCCTAGTTTCAGATTGGTGACAGCTTTAGTAACCTCAGTTAGTGACGGAGGACCTGTATCTATATCCCATTCAGGGAGGTGTTGGATGCTCGGAAGGTTGAGCGTGGCTGTGGGCAAATTAAACTGCTCCTCATAATGCTCTTTCCAACGATCCAGTCGTCTATCCTGGGAGCTAATTATAGTGCCATTTTTTTCCGAGATTGTCTCACTAATGATTTGTCTTCTCCCACCCGTTTCCCTGATGAGTCCAAAGAGTTGCCTGGTGTTGCCTATCCTCAAAGCTTTCTCCATCTCTTTGGCTTTTGTCGCCCACCACTGTTCACGGTCCTTGCGGAGACTTTTCGTAAGTTTCCTCTTGTGCAGCTTTCGCTCCTCATTGAATTCGGAGCTCGCCGGAATAAGTCTTCTAGCATCTATCAGTTCGGATGAGGCGGTGGAGATCCAGTGGTTTTTACTCACCTTTGGGTTTACCTTATTCACAGCTTTTACAGCTGTATCTATGGCTGCCTGGATATTTTTCCAAGCTTCTTCAGGGTGAGCACAGCTGTCGAACACAGATATGTGTTTAGCTAGTTCTTCCTGAAATACGGATTTAGTTTCCTGATCGAGCTGGGGACGTGATGGTTTTACCGCCAGCTGTTTCCTACGTCCGTTCAGTCGTAAGCACACCCGAGCGCGGACCAGTGCATGGTCGGTATCTACGCACGTGTTCCAGAAGGAGCGACAATCTCCTACCGACCCACGCCAACGATAGCTTATTGCTATGTGGTCTATTTGTGTCCAGCGTTGGTTTGATGAAGGGGGTCTCCAAGTCAAACAGTGTCTCTCCTTGTGTTTGAAGTTAGTGCTTACAAGAAACAAATGATTATCAGAGCAGAACTGTAGGAGACGGTCACCGTTGTCGGTTCGCTGGCACGGAACTCCATAGGTGCCACCGACATCCTTCTCAGATTGACACAATTTCCCTACTTGAGCGTTAAAGTCACCAGCTAGAACGACTATGTCTGAGCGTTTAGCCTTTCTCACCAAACTAGACAGCTTTTGGTAGAACTCATCCTTCGTTTCATCTGAACTGCAGTCAGTGGGGGCGTAGGCGGAGATTACGAAAAGGCATCGGCGAGTAGTGCAGTCCTTCCTCCTTCTTACTGATCCGTTCAGGCGGACAGCACACATTCGGCTATCTACCGGGATCCAGTCAAGCAATGTCTTTTCTGCCCTAGTACTCAAAGCTATCCCTACGCCAGCTAATCCTCGTGAACTAGCTGTGGCATCTCCTGACACCCTCAAGGTGAATTTTGCAGATTCAACCTGTTGGCCAGGTGGGGTTAGGTGAATAACCACACTTGGGTCTTGTATGCGTGTTTCTGAAACACAGCATACATCAATGGCTCGTGATGCCAGGGTCTTGGCTAGTGATGCTTGTTGTCCTATTTGGCAAAGTGTCCTAACATTAAGAGCTCCTATATGAAATTGGTGGCGCGGCTTTAAGAGGCTGTCGGTGGTGGTTTTTTGGCTTCCATCGTTTTTAGTGGACGCAGAGTGGAGAGGAAGTGGAGAGCTATCAAGTCGAGGAGTTGCATCAGTGGAAGGAAGGCAAGATGATAGAGATGAAGATGAAGACAAAGATGAGTGAGTAATAGAGAGGTTTCGTGTGCATTTCGGATTGTGAGGGCGATTGTTACTTCCCGGCTGCCCACACCGTGGAAGTTGGTTGCGTGACCGCAGAGCCCAGGGGACAACTGCTTGAGGCCGGTCACACGCGGCCTGTTTTTGTTCGTTCTTGTTGTTTTGTGTGTCTCAGTAGCAGATTTATCACTCCCGCCCTGTGACACGGCAGCAGGAAGCGCGGTCGTTGTTAATCCGGGCCACGGCCGATCCGGCATGAAATTTTGTAATTTTGTATTGGACATGATGTTGGATTGGGTAGCTGCTTTTTGTTTAACCGCTATCCAAACAACCTGCCTGGCATGGTAGAACCTCAAGAGACATAAGTCTCAGCCAGTATAGCTTGATTAGGTCATTGCGGTGTTCAAGCCCGACCACCACGTCAAGGTAGCAGCTTTCGGTCGGGACCTAACCATTGCCTCCCCCGACGGGCATTACTAGCTGATATACGTGCAGGTTGGAAAAGAGTAAGTGGTAGCCAAACAAAAACATGCCATCAATCCATGAAATCCTTGACAGCTAAACTGAGTCTGGTAGGGAGATGCAGACTTCCGGGTTGGGGCCCTCGGGACTCTAGGAATCAATGGCTGGAGACAATAGGTGACATGGCTCAAAATCGTTGTCAATGGCCAGTGCAGATGTATTCAGTCTCTGTAATCTTTCATATTTCTTTCTACCATTACCCATTCTGTTTCGCTCTTATACTTGTGAAACTCTATTAATTCTCTCCACTCATCTTCTTGTCTACCTTTGTGTGCTATTTGGAACGTGGCAACTCGAACTGCTGCACTTCGGTGCCAAGTTTTATGTTGAATCAAGACTTTTTAGTCAAATGAAGATAGAAGGGAAGAAAAGTTTTCGAATAAAAAAATCAATAAATAATCATGTCAGATATCCAGTGTATGGATTCACGATGATAATGATTACGTCAAGCGAAGGGGATTGAAACAACTTGATTCAACCTACATTCAAACATATTTTATAAAGTTATTAATTGGTGAGAGAACTCGACAAAGGTTGCCAATAGAATTTGGAGTATACATTTCCACTCAATCACCAATCATTAAACAAATGTACCTATATGAGCGATAACAAAATCTGTCTAATTTACTGTACTGCTGGAAGTATACAACCTCATCATGTCGATCAATAGGATGGATTGTTCACCCTGTCTTGGTGTATCAGGCTTATAGTTACAGACGCCTTAATTTTACTCGTACTGAGAATTTATCAGTGTCAATAAGTGTAATCGAAGATTTACGATTACTTCTGATTGGAACGATTCAGTTAGCAAGAACAAAAGCTTGATCCTTCGAAAAGAGATGTACTCCTCGAAATCGATATATTATGGTGAGAGCTGGCTTTTAGCCAAAATTGGTGGACAGTAATTTACGTCAATGTTTATGTCCCCAATATTGGTCGTGAGAAAAGTGAGAAGAAAGACGTTGCGTAGGCGGATACAGTTAACATATAGATGATCCGACATTTAAGAAACAGCCGCAAAGAGGTGCAAGGTTAACTTTCTATGAGAAACAACCAATCAAAATGCTGTTTTTCTGATAACAACAATCTATAATATGTACATGAAAATCTATAAATATGTGTTGATTTCCGTAATAAACGATCTGTTGCCTGACCCTTGTCTTCCGTTCTTACAATATCAGCAAATCGAGACGAGTAGTTAGGGGACGAAAAGCTAAACACTACACGGCAGAGTGAAGAATAATGGCGAAGGTGATTGACTAAGTACTTTCAGTTTAACAAGACTACCAAGGCAGTTATTGGTCAACACCTAATTAACGAATGTTTATGCAGCTGTCAGTTACTGATTCTACGGCGTTATTAACCGCTACAATTAGCTATCTCCAAGTAAGGACGACCAAATAGTCGCATGGTCAATCAAGCTATTCCGATGACTGAATAGTCAAGATGTTCAAAAGATTCTGTATTTTGTTTTCACCTAAGGGGAATGAAATTTAATCTGAACTCGAAGGAGTAGCGAGCTCTTTGTTCTCGAGTTCAATAATATCAGTATATCAGGAAGTCCACTCGAAGTACCTACAGAATATTTTGAAGCTCATAGTGCAAATTTCATAGATTTAGCGTGTTTAATTTTCATTCTAGACAATATAATAACACAACACAGAATTCTCAGCGCATTTAAATTGCAAAACATTTACTTTTCATACAGAACGGTCATGTAAAATCGTACTCGACAATACACCATGTGATGCTGTGTTGCTCTACCTGAAGCAACACCTAATCCTTTAGGACATTCTCTCTTTTATTTCTCCAAGGGGTGTGCAGTGTTACTTTGAAAGCTAGTTTAAAATACGCGCGAGTTTAGGTAGCGATTCGAACACATAACTGGATGATTAAAACAATATGCAACAGATTATGACAGATGAAAATGTAGGAAGCCCAAAGATTTATGCAAGCCACCGGGAAAAGTGAAAAAATTCTTTTCACGCAGACATAGCATACATCATAAAACGCATATGCCGGAGTCTTCACTAGTGATGACTGTTGTCTGATTTCTTTTAAGGTGCGGGCAATGAAACCTGTAAAATGAGGTACGCGGGGTGGTATTATAAGACTAAGAACGATTGCTAGCAATGACCGGAGAGTTCAGATAAAGAATCAGCCTAAGGGATAATACTAACAGTGGTAGTAAAGTATGGTAATGAAGATGGTGGATAATGAGCAGAACTTCGTATACCAAAGGAAGTGTACGACCAGTTGTTGCTTTCCTGCCACCTATAACGTAAAAGATGATTTCTTCTTGAAATATCTGGAAAAGAGAAGGGATTATTGTTGCACAATAGCAGAACTTAGGAGGAAACTGCCTGGAGCCAGTCTCACATGGTCCTTTTGGAAGTGAAGTTTTCCCAGTTAGAAATGCCGTTCTACAGGCTTCCATACGCTACACGGGTACTCATCTTTGAGGCTGACTGATTAATTCAATAATAAATAAGATAAAAACTTAGTACATAGGGAACAGCAACAGATGCGAGGACTGAAATGCTGCCCAGATGCACAGAACAAAGCAGGTAGTTGTTCAGGAGATTACCCCTCCCTCCGAGCCTTTGACTTGATGTCTGATTCACTAGGAAGTAAAGAAGCATCAGAAGGTGTATTCCCGAGGCTCACAGTGACCAAAACAGATTTATACGTCATTTGATCATTTTACAGTCTGGAGCCTATGTAGAGCATATGTATCTAATTATGGTTTTCCAGCTCCCCTAGGTGGACCACCGTGTCCATCAGTCCGGCTGTAAGTGCAAGACGTTCGAATTCGCCCATCCGCTTTTGTGAGGAAGACTCCGGCAGCGTGAACTATGTGAATAAGAGTTAATCCGCAGAAGCTATGAACACATGACTACATGAGAGTATCTTGAGGGGCAGAACGAAGTCTACGCGCCCAATGTTGTACCAGATCATTTATGGGGTTTATGGGTTTACTTATCCTACAATATTCCTTTCTCTCTCTCTCTTCCGATATTCTTATTATATTGTTTCAATTCGTACATTTCATACTGTCAGTAACTCAGTAGAACTTTTCATTTTTTAAATATACATATTGTTGCAATACCCTTTTTATTTACCGCTAAAAATATAAATAATAAACTTACCCTGGACGATAGGCAGAGTATTTTAGTCGGCTTACATAACTGACATCATCACCGATTAAATCGAAGCCTAACCGACTACGACCAAGCACAATAGCATAAGCAGTACCAGTATGCACACTAACACGTAATTCCAATCGAACATGAGAAATTTCATTGATCTCTCTAAAGAAAAATAAATTTCTAAAATATTAGATATTAAAAGTGCAGTTTACAAGGAAGATTTGAAATTGAAGCATGTGTGTGCGTGCAGTTGTTGTGAAGTCTCCGTAACCTTTCTGGGCCGAAATAGGTTAATCTCAGTATATAATTACTAAATATGCGATGTGCATACTAAGCGAAGTATTACGACGCTGCAGCTCACTGTGACAAACTGTCATTGGATACTAAGCGTCATCGAGCTAACATGTCGTGTTTGCAGAAACCTGTAGTCCATCGGTTGACTCAACCGAATATCTAATGAAAATATACCACAATGAGCAGTAGCATGAGGTAACCTTAGCTTAGAGATGACATTGCCTTCAGATCACTAGACTTCGAACGACACACTTAGAACTAGACAGCCAAATTGTTTATTACCTGACAAATAATTCGCTTACAATATTCACTTCCACTGGATATCATTTGTGATCTGAAGAGGTTAATTACAAAGTCTTTGAATAGTGCAGATTCCAACCTCAGAGAAAATATGGATTTATTGACATGAGAGAAGAATAAAAGGAATTCCTGTCTACTGAATCTCCCTCTTTAACAACGAATGGAGGCTTTGTCCGGCAACGTGAAGAGATGTACTTGCTTCTTTTCTTGTGTTTATAACGTTCAAAATGAGGCTGACATTAAAAACTTCAACTGGGACAAAACAATGAAAGCTTCACAATTAAACCATCTAAATATAGTACCAAAAACACCCATCTAAAGCAACAAATTGTTCACATCAATTCAAACTACACCTATATTATTCAAGGCATCCAGGAGCAATACAAGCAAACAGCAGTTGCAACTAGCGGTATTACACAACCAGGATCAGAAAAGCAAAACAGACCTTCATTATTCTGAAATCGGTATGGAGATCTACCGCAACAGGTACAATGAACATGATTCAGATTTTTAACGCTTAATATCCAATCAATCGATGCTTCTATATCGTTCAGAAACATGGCACGCGGATCAACAAAAGCGTTTCAAATAGTCTTAAGACTTCTCTCAACAGCTGCCTTCGCTCTATGCTGAAGATCAAGTGACCGACGAGGGAGGATGAGTAAGAAGGAGCTCTAACAGGCAAAGAACCAAACAAGAAACTGTAGCTAAACAAATGTGTCAAAGAAAATGGAGATGGTATAAGTATAAAACTTGGGTACTGTGACAGAATATGACTCCATTATACATAAGATTTTATTTTGATAAATCACAATGTTGTACAGTAATATTAACTGGTGACATTTCGAGCACAAATTATTGCTCGCAATCCTATAATGTCACTCACGACGTTTTGCTTCATGGGGATGGATAGGACATACACTGAGGAGACCACTGAGTGACACGGAACACCAAACCGACGCTCCAGTGGAACCCAGATGGAGAAAAACAAGTTTGGACACACGTTTGAAGGTCAAATGGAGGAGGTGAGGGCTTGTGAATAATCCTGGAATCAGCAAGAAAGGAATTCATAAAACAGGACGAAATAGAAATGTCCTGTTGAAGCCAAATTTTCCCCTCGGAAACTAAGGGAGTAATGTGCATGTGTGAGGAAAAACATGGTAGTTGTTATAACTGAAACTGAACTGAATAAAGCCATTGCTACTTTGTTATGTCTGCGCCTGTTAATTACTATAAAGGTAATGAACTCGACTGGAACGCTTATACGTCTATTCTTTCGTTGTACCTTGCGATTTGAGCAAATATCAAAAGACAAAGGCTGGCCTGAGACTGTGGGATATTGTACTATACGTCTGTTAGGAAACAAAACTTCACATTTCTATTTTTAATTTATCACAGTACAGTTGGCTTACAAACGTGAGAAAGGAGAGTTCCTATTGGCTGGAAATGTCTATTCTGATGGGTTAGAGATCCGACAACGACTAAGGTGAGACAAAAGACGATGAAGTGATCACACACTAAATCACACGATTCAAAAGAAAGGATGTTATATTACTTTATGCTCGGTCCCATTATTAGTTGTTATTATTATTTCCATTGGTTCCTAGAGGAATATAGGTCTTCAGCTGCACGTCTCCATTGCGATCGGTTCTCTGCCAACGTTTTCACCTGGATCCACGTCTGTCCACATGCTTTCATCTCCCCTTCATATTGTAACAACAGAAGACAAGGGCCGGCAACAGATCGTTTTATTACGGAAATCATCACGTATTCATATACATTTCCTGTACATCATTATAGCTTATTCAAGTAGAAAAACGAAGTCTTCTGATTGGTTGCTTCGGGTAACCTCGGAAAATGGAGCCAACTATCTGCGAATCATATTTGCCCACGTTAAGTTTGCTGTGACTGGTTGTTGAATCAGCCTTGTTCATATTTTCTCACGGCCAATATTAGTGACCTAGACATTGACGTGGATTAATGTCTACCAATTGGCTAGCAGCCTGCTCTCACCACACTCGTCCCCCCGTCAAATAGCTTCGTGTGCAGACGTTCCGACCTTCTGTGTGCTACATCCTCTAGTTGAGGATTGTTACTGACCGGCTTGTCCCACTGTACTCATCCTTGGAGCTGACTGGCATTAACTCGTTTCTGTTTGCCACCTCTTCGGATGGTATATACTTGACCCCGTCTTTTTGTGATTGTGCACGGTCCTTCCCACTTTAGAAGGAGTTTCCGTGAAACTGGCCCACATCCAACTGTATACCTTCTGTCTCTACGCTTCACTTGATCCCCGACTGCAAAGGTAATGCACTGAGTCTTTCCTTTCATCTGAGACCTCGCGACATCACTCCGCTGCATCAGCATTACATTCTTGACTGCCTCTTTCCGCTCTGCTTTTAATTTCGTCGTACTCCATTTTTGGTGACGAGGCCAGGTCTCATTGTGTATCGGTAATCGTGGTTTTCTACCATACATCAGTTGAAAGGGTGACTTCTTCGTTGTTTCCTGAGTGGTAGCACGGTGTGTCAGTAAAATCAGTGGAAGCTCCGTTTCCCAGTTACCGCCCTTCGAGACCAGCCACTCCTTCAGTGTACGGTTGTTTCTCTCCGTTAGGCCATTCGTTTGTGGATGATATGAGGTTGCTCTGATCCCCTTGATACCCAGCTGTTGCAAACGCGAAGTAAATTCTTCACTCTCGAAACAGGGACCTTGGTCTGTCAGTATTGTCTTTGGTACGCCGTGGTCTGCAACAATGTGTCTAACTACTGAATCTGTCACGGTCCTTGCACGTTGGTCTGGGATTGCTACGGCGTCTACTCGTCGTGTCGCGTGTTCCGTGATCACCAAGAGGTAATGATTACCATTGGATGTCTGAGGAAATGGACCCATGACATCTACGGACCACAAGTTACCTATCGCCGTAACTGGAATCGACTGAAGCGGTGGTCGTATGCACCGGTCGCCTTTCATTAGCTGGAACCGTAAACATCCAAGTACGTATCTTGCTACGTCTTCTCTCATACCTGGCCAGTACATGCTCTGTCTTAGGAGGTCGTTCGTTCTGGCCACGCCTGTATGTGCTAGCTGGTGACATTCTTCTATCATGTCGTGGCGCGACGATTGAGGTATGACAGCCAGCCAGCTTCCGTCGTTCTCTCGCCAGGTCAGAGTCGCGTAGGCATTCACTCTTAGTCGATCTCTCTGTTTGAGTAGTGTGGTTAGCTCCTTACTCGCTGTAGCTTGATCCACTTCTATTCCGTTGGTGATCACCTGTATTACTGTATTCAGCGTATCGTCCAACCTTTGCCTGCGTGCAAGTCTTAGTGGGTCTTGTTCTACTGCATGCACTCCGTAAGCGACCTCGGGCAACTCAGACTCGTCTTCTGGTCTCGATAACAAATCTGCCAAGGCATTTTCACTTCCAGGAACGTGTGAGATCGTAAAATCGTACTCCTGAAGACGCAACATCCACCGTGACATTTTCCCCCGTGGGCCTCTCGCTGTCTTCAAAAACTGTAGCGGCTTATGATCAGTTTCGATGTGGAACCGCCGGCCGAGTAAATAAGGTCTCCATTTGATATAAGAATAAAACTTGTGCACTGTGGTAGAGTATAATTCCATTATGGGTAAATTCTTGCTTAGATAAGGTCTCACAGTGTTATACAGTAATGTTTACTGATAACGTATCGAGCACAATTTATTGCTCGTAATCATATCAATATGCTCAATCATATCAATTGCTCATATCATATCATAACATAATCATATCACCTTGATATGATTATGAGCAATAAATTGTGCTCGAAACGCCATCAGTAAACATTACTGTATAACACTGTGAGAATTTATCAAAACAAAAATTTACCCATAATGGAAGGTCTCCATTTGTCGACTGCCCATACCATTGCTAAAAATTCTTTCTCTATCGTTGAATACTTTCGCTGTGTGTGTCAAAACCCGACTGGCAAACTCAACGATCCCTTCACCCTGTCCTAGGACCGCACCTATAGCGTAGTCGCTAGCATCTGTGCACACTGTGAACTGCCTTCCAGGTACAGGTAATTTTAGCGTCATTTGTTGGTGGTCGAGCAGCTGTTTAATTCTGTCGAATGTCCTCTGCGATTCCTCCGACCAAACAAACTTTGGCTCACCGAGTAGTCTGTACAAAGGGGCTGCTATCTCATTGAAGTTCTTCATGAAGCGACTATAAAACGCTGCTCTACCCAAGAATTGTCTCAGTTTTCTCTTTGAATTCGGGGCTGGAATCGTTTTATTCGTCAAAATTTTCTCCGGTAGTGGTTTAATCTCACCATTTCCCACTTTATGTCCCAACAGAGTAACATTATTTTTGGCTATCTGGGACTTGGTTTTGTTGACGCGCAGTCCAAACTCTTCGATGCGTCGCAGCACGGCTTCTACATGGTTCACATGATCGTTTTTGTTTTGACCGTGTATGACGAGATCATCACCATACACCTCCACGTTTTTCAAGTTCTTAAGTAATAGTGTCATCAGTCGTCTGAACGTAAACGGTGCACCTGCTAGTTCAAACGGCATGCGTTTAA